AAAAAAAAAAAAAAAAAAGACCAGGCTTACTGTTCTATAGAGCCTGGAGAACCCCTAACACTATGGCCCTTAAACACCCTTCAAGCCTGGAATCTAACTCACCTCCATGACTCAAGTTTCAGACGAACAATAGTCAGGACTATAAGGTGAACAGTAACACCAGGAAGGTAGGTACCCAATGCTTAGACCAATTAACCAAAACAGATCAAAAGGGCAGCACTTGCCCAGGGATAAAGCTCAGAGGACAGGAAGGAATAGGAAAGAAGGATGAATGGAAACAGCAACCACAGGGAGGAAGTGGGAAGAGTACTGTTACTTTGGGGGGATTGCAATCAAAGTCACAAAAGGTGTATGGATTGCTGAATGAAAAACCAGTATATATTTTTTTTAAACTTTCACCCAAATCACAAAAAAAAAGGAAAAAAAAAAAAAAGTCAAATTCTCATGGGCTGTGGACTTTCTGAAGCCATGGAACAATGATGAACCCCTGGAAATATTGCCCTGAGATAATCTTTAAACCCAAAACCAAAACCAAAAAATAGTTTAGCTTAACTAGTAAAAGAAAAAAAAAAAGATTTGCTTTGACCATTATGATCTTTTAAGAACTATCTAAAAGGGATCAAACTGACAACAGCAACTCAAAAAATTAGATAGAAACCTTAGAGGGCAGAGAGTTTATGTTAGCGGGGAAAGGAACAATTTAGAAAAGAAGGCTAAGAGTGGCTGCACAGCTAGAAGAATGTAAGGAATGTCACTAAATTGTACATGTAGAAATTTAAACTGGTGTATATTTTCCTGTGTATATTCTCAACAACTACAACAAAAAAAGCTGAGATAGAAAAAAAATACCATTATAGTATAAAGTTCTGCATAGTTAAATGAGACAAATAACTCATTAATTTCCTACAATTCGGAAAGGCAGGGATAGTACTTTTTTTTTCAAAATTTAATTTTTTTCTCAAAAAACTGAGATAGAAAATATATTAATACTAAAAGTCTGATATTGTTAAGCAAGAAAAATAATTCACTGATTTTCTACAATGTGGAAAGGCCTACTACTTTTTTCCAAAATTCAGTATTTTTTTCTCAAAAACAAACTGAGTCACAAAATATATTTCTATGTAAAAAGCCTGATTTAAGCATAAAGAATAACTCGTTAATTTCCAACAATTTTGGAAAGGCCCAGTCCTTTGAAGTAAGCCTGGAATGTGTCCTTGCTTAATTAAAAATCATGCTCTCAAATGGCAATTTAAGACATGAATTTGTTGATACGAAACAAATAAACTCTTCATTAAATAACAATATTGAATCTGTGAAAAATCTCATAACATGGATAAACCTAGATGGGATTATACCAAAAACCAAACCAAACTCATTATCATTGAGTCGAATTCGACTCATAGCAACCCCTCCTTGGGTTTCCCAAGAGGTATCTCTATGGCAGGAGATTGCCCAGTCTTCCTTCTTTGGAGTGGCTGGTGGGTTTGAACCCCCAGCCTTCTGGTTAGCAGTCAAATGCCTTAGGCACTATACCACCAAAGTTCCTCCTACTATGCTGGGTGAAATTAATTAATCACAAAAGGACAAATATTGGATGAGACCATTACTGTAACAAGTCAAGAAAAGTTTTCACACAAAAGGAAATATTTGTTGATGGTTACCAACGACAGAAGGGAAAGGGAAGGTAATCCACTAACTAGAGGATAGACATATTATCCTGAGTGAAGGGGAAGGTGATAGATAATAAGGGGGAGGTCAGCACAAAATGATCAAGGAAAGGAAGACACCGGGAAGAGTGCAAGCATTGAAGGTAATAAAGTAATAAGGATAAATAGTAATTCATATACAATCCTGCAATAACAGAAATAACAATAATCAATAATCTATGAGTAGATACATAGAAAGACATGCAAGCTGAACAGGTGTGGGAAGGATAATAGGACTTACACCCACAAACGTGTAGGTTTGACAGAGGAGATATTTTTACATATGTATTTATATATGCTGTAAATATATCCATGAATATAGTAGAGCATACAGGGGGCAAAGTTATTAAAACTTCTTGGCCATAACCAAAACCCCTGAAGGAGTGAGTTGCTGGGCATGAGGACTCAGGACCACAGTTTCAGGGGATATCAAGGTCAACTGGCACAACATACTCTACAAAGACAATGTTCTACAGCGTACTTTGGTGAGTAGTAACTGGGGCCTTAAGAGTTTGCAAGAGGCCATCTAATGTGCATCTACTATTTTCTCCCCATCTGGAGCAAAGAATAATGAAGACAAGACAAGACACATAGAAACAATTCGTCCAAAAAGACTAATGGACCACACAATTCTCAGCCTCCAGCAACTCTGAGACCAGAACTACATCATGTTCAGCTACCACTACCAACTGCTCTGAAAATGATCACATTAGAAAGAAGGTCCTGAATAGAGCGGGATAAACTATAGAACAAAACTCAAAATTCCAAAAAAGACCATGATTACTGGTCGAATACAGACTGGCAAAATCACTGAGACTGTGGCCCTTGATCACCCTTCAGATCTGGAACTGAACTCACTCTCAAAGCTGAATTTTCAGTGAAATAATAGGTCAATAAGGTGAATAACTCTAGAAAAGTAGACACTACTTAGAACAATCAACTATTTGAGATCAAAAGAACAGTATTTGCCCCAGGACCAAATTCAGAAGGTAGGGTTAGTAGAGAAGGAGGAATGGATAGGAGAAATACAGAGGATGTGGAAGGAATGACATGACATTGAGGAGATTGCAATCAATGATTTGAAACAAAGTGTGTGTGAATTATTAAATGGAACACTGATTTGCTCTGTAAACTTTCACCTACATCACAATAAAAAGTTTAAGAGGGAGGGGAAAAAAAAAAACTCTTCAAGCCCCTTCTGTATGTATATGGGCTTCTTTTGGACTCAGCTGCCTTCCTTTTACCAGGTAAAAGGAAAATACATGCCCCAAGTGTCCAAAGACATCCCTGGGGTGTGGTGTCAAGACAGTGAGTAACCCAATTCCTCCCAACTCCACCTAAGGGTAGGGAGTCACAAGAAGGTAGTCACCTAGTCTAACAGGGCTAATGACAATGTGCAGCACTCCCTCCAGTCAGCAGGTCCTTAGCTGGGTGTGCTGCCCTCTTGGACTTTGATTTCAACTGCAGTAACCCTTGAGGCTCAAGCCTTGGCAAACAAGGAGAGGACTGACCTTCCCTGGCAGCCCTGCCTCTGAGTGGAAGAGTTTCTGGGGCAGATGGTACAGAACATTCAAGGAATCTCAACTGGGTATCGTAACACTAAACCTGGGCAAGACAGTCCCGTTCTTTCTACCTGACTACCCTCAGCCTAAGAAGTCATCCGTGATGACGGAGAAAGGCTTTAACTCTCCTCTGCCTCAAAGTCATTGGATAGCCTTGGAGAAGTCCTTTCCCAGGTTAAGTCCAGAATTTTTACATAGAAAAGATCTGGGCATGGCAATCTGATTAGAAGGAGGGTACCATGGCCGTGTTTTGAAGCTGCATTGAGAAGGAAAACATTCAGTTTTCGTTTAGATTATACGTTCATCTAGGAAAAGAGCCCTGGTGGTGCAGTGGTTAAAGCATTGGTCTGCTAATCAAAAGGTCAGCGGCTCAAACCTACCAGCCGCTCGCGAAACAGAGATGAGGACGTCTGCTTCCATAAACATTTACAGACTTGGAAAGTCAATGTGGAAGTTCTACTCTGTCTTAGGAGTAGGATCGCTATGAGTCGGAATCAACTGGACGGCATTGGGTTTCGTTTATCTGGGGACAAGGCTGGAGATGAGGGTCTAAAGCTCCCAGAGCAACTCCTTAGTAGTACAGTTGGTTTCCCTGTAAAACACACTGAGCTGAAGAGAGATCTTGTAGTTCAGAGCTCCTGGAGAAATCAAGAGAGAGGGAAATACTGACCCACCCACGTACCTCGTAGGCCAGGAGGGCTCCAAAGTGGGTCTGCCCCCGCGCGCAAGACGAGCAAACGCGGCCCCAGGACCTTAAAGCGCCCTACCAACCCTGAGGGGATCCGAAGGACAGGTGGCTGCACCCTATGGTGGACGAAAGGTAGCGCGTGGAGTGCTCGGCCCGGAGATACCGGCGGGGCGGACTACTCACGGGTCCCCGCGGTCGGGCCCCCGGCCGCGACAGTGGATGGGGTTGAGCTCGTCCTGAGGAAAGGCGTGCGCCATGTAGTTGTCGTAGCCGAAGAAGAACATGCCCCGCGCCAGGTCGCGCATCTGGGCTCTCAGCTGCGGCGGGAAGGCGCTGCTGTAGCGCTTCTCGTACTCGTCC